ATGGACGGATAGAGATAGAGATAGAGATAGAGACAGAGACAGAGACAGAGACAGAGACAGAGACAGAGACAGAGACAGAGACAGAGACAGAGACAGAGACAGAGACAGAGACAGAGACAGACAGAGAGAGAGAGACAGACAGAGAGAGACAGACAGACAGAGACAGACAGAGAGAGAGAGAGAGACAGAGAGAGACAGAGAGAGACGGAGAGAGACAGAGACAGACAGAGAGAGACAGAGACAGAGAGAGAGAGAGCGACAAAGAGAGAGAGAGAGAAGAGAGAGAGCGACAGAGAGAGAGAGAGAGAAGAGAGAGAGAGAGAGAAAGAGAAAGAGAAAGAGAAAGAGAAAGAGGAAGAGAAAGAGAAAGAGAAAGAGAAAGAGAAAGAGAAAGAGAAAGAGAAAGAGAAAGAGGAAGAGGAAGAGGAAGAGGAAGAGAAAGAGAAAGAGAAAGAGAAAGAGAGAGAGAGAGAGAGAGCGAGAGAGAGAGAGAGGGGGGAGGCAGAGAGAGAAAGAGAAGAAGATAGAGAGAGAACGAGAGGCCCCCACACCCTAATGTTCTACACATCTATCCTAATCGTATACCCATCAATAACAACAAGTACTGGCTAGATGATTTCCATGAACACTCATAAGAACCCTAACACACTTATAGGAAACCCAAAGTTCACCTAGACTCAGTCCCCAGCCCCAAAAAAACAATCCCATGCCCAGGCTTGGCCTGTTCTTTCCCCGGCTTCCTCGTGAGATTGAAGGCTTGGCCAAGATATTTCAAATCTCCACGGAAGCCAACTGGGATAAAGTACATCGTCTTAGTCTCGGGTTGCTACAACACAACCAAATACATTGCCAAATACGTATTTCCCTAAACCCTAAAATGCTTCATAGAAACAACACTTAATGACACCTCCAAGAAGCACCTACATCAGTTTCAATGCCGCGATGAATCAAGTTGTTGATGTCTGCAACAATTGCTGAGTTCATGCCTTGCAGAGTCATATTCGTGGCTTCTTCCACCCAGTACAATTCTGTAGGAATGGAATACATGATGTAACGGCTCGCCTTTGAGTTTGAACGGTAGCAAGAAAGGTCGGGAGTCCTTAGCTTTGAAGATTAAGGTCCAGGGTCTGTCGACAGCATAATAGCATATATGGGTTTTAGGCTCAGGGGTTACAGAGGGAATATACAATAAACGTAAATTAACACCCACAACTATACCATCTCCTCCAAGCGTAGACTCCAGCTAGTAACCATCCAGCTTCGCCGGGTAACTGTTCCTTCATCACCCCAGAGCACTATCGGCACACACTGAGCCATATCCCGACCGGCTGCATACTCCTGAAACCCAGGGCCCATATCATGAGCCATGCGTTGCCAATATTTTCGCAACCCAGCAGGCGTCGCCGACACCATTGTGCTGAGAAAGCCGGCGTGGACGAGGGCAGAGGCCTGAGCGGGACATCGAGTAGTAAGATCTCTTAAAGGATATTATTGTATGATGACAATTTCCCATATTTACTTAAACTTCAAGTAGCCTGAATCTCGGCTAGGTACCATATCCGAAGGCAAGACCAAAGGCATGGATTCAAGTACCATTCCATCATCACCCCACACAGGCACTGTAGTCCAGGAAAGCTTTGCTTTCAATGCGTGACCAGATTTCGCAAGTCGGTTGTGAAGCTCGTCTTCTCGTAGGGGTCGCGAATCATAGCCACTTATGAAACCAGATCCATAAATGTCTCCTGCAGCAGGCGTTCCCTAAAGCACAACGTATGTAACTGGCCCCGACCTATCCTAGAACCCCAAATTTGGGTTTAGGGTTTAGGGCTTAAGAGAAATATGAGGAAAGCACGCTTTGAGGGCTTATACGGGCTTAGGGGGTATGGAAGCAGGAGTGTCGGGTCTAGGGTTCGGGGCTTTGGGGATGTAGGTTTAGGGGTTTAGGGCTTAGGGATTTTTGGGGCTCCCAGTTCGCACGCCAAGGTGATTGTGTTGTCGCCACCAGCAGTAGACCGAGCAAGCCTTATTTGCCGATGCAACAGAGTTCAACTCCCAATCCACTACATCACTTTTGATTGATAGAATCTGAATAGGCTTCATGCAGGCCAGTAGCACATTGTCCAGTTTTTGCTTTGTATCAGGATTCCTGCTTCTGCTTGTGCGTCCGGTACCTGCTCGGTTGCAAACTATTCTATACCACACATGTAGAAGGCTTTAGCTCTGACGCACACACACACACACATCTAGCAGAATTGGCGTGTGGTTTTGCACCAGGCATTGAAACTCCAAGAGCTCTACCCCACACTGCTCACCCATGATGTCACAGGGACCCCGGAGCGCAAGGCGAGCTCAAAGCTGTGCACACAATGCTGCTGGTTCCCAGCCACTGGACATATAATATTGGCCAAGGCATTTGCAACCATACCTTCTAGCAAGCATCCTGTACTTCGGCTTTACTTTACCATGCCATCGGCCATAGGCACTCGAAAATACAGATCGCATCCTCGCTTTGCGAAGCTTACGCCTGCTTGCGAAGCTGGCTCACAAGTCCCCGTGCTTGGGCCTTCTCCAAGCCAAGCTCCACGACCTTAAGATTACATGCATCGAAGCACCCCAAGCACAATACACCTCAAGCTTAAATAAATCCTAAACCCCTAAACCCTTAAGCCAAGCCCTAATGAGCCCTTAAACCCTTAAGCCCGAGACCTCAACCTTAACCCAGGAAGCCTTGTCATGGATCTGCTGGCACATCGGGTCCATTTCCTCGGACGTCTTCAGCTCCTTGAACCTTACATAAGGAATGAGGGAGGGGAGCAAGTGATATCGGTCAGAGGTTACCGGGAAACTGTTTCGCATAGCTCTTCAGCTTCTTCTCGTACTTCAGCAGAATACCCTTCATGTCGACCTCCTTAGGAGAAGCACCCAAATCGAGCATCAGGTTGGAGAGGCCATTGATCTCCTTCTTCAGCTCTTGGCCTAGGTATGCAAAAGGATATAGAATCATGTGGCTTCAAGCTTGGGCTCAAAAGTCTGTCATTCTAAATATAAGGTTTGGGGTTTCGGCTTTAGGTTTGGGGTTTCGGCTTTAGGTTTTGGGGCTTAGCGATTTTATTGGGTTGAGCCTGGAGACTCCATCTCTGATGCTTCTCCTCATCCGTCCTGAAAACTTCGTTGATCAGGGTTGTCTTGGCCTTTGTCGTTGCAGCAGAAGCCACAGATTTGCCACCTTTTTTGCTCGGCTTGGAGCGACCGGAGCCGCCACCACCACCAGTGCCTCAGGTTGATGCACAGCACAAACACGCTTGCATTCTTACCGTGTTCATACGACCCAGACAAGCCACAAGCCGAAACTGCCTGCTGAAGGCCAGTGTTGTACTTGTCAAAGGCCTTGAGCACGTCCCCGTTCAAGGGGTGTGCCGAAGTCGCAGGGGCACTTCGGTGCAACACCGACGGCGAGCCATTCGACCCTAGGGTAGCCATGAAAGCTTCATCGGGTGTCATCTTCGCCCTCATCTGCCCAGTGATCCTGGGTGTTGACCACAGATTCAGGTAGGATTTCACAAGCACACATCCTTTATAGAATCAACTAAGTAGCGATGCTTTTTCCAGCTCGGTCTTCTCGCGGTCCACCACGACCCAAAATCGGGTAAGGGCAAGATTGTCAGGGCTGTGCTCATCTTTTTCCCCTCCTCCTTGCGCAATAATTCCTTCGATTTTGTCCCTTAGTATAGATAGCAACCAGACAATGAATTAAAGCTACAGGATCATGCGCATGCAGACATCGTGGACAGCTAGGGCACGGGGGGAAAGAGTACGGCGGCTTCGGCATGTCGCACACACGAAGCTGCTTCCACACACGCTTGCCTTCGAGGCTTTGCTCTTTTGACACAAGGAGCTCTGCTTCGCAAGCTTTGCAGTTTCCACCGGTGGCAATGAACTGTCTGAGCAGCTTGTTCTTCTCCTCGAGCACACAGGATCATTTAATATAGTGGGGGTTTAGGGTTTAGGGTTTAGGGTTTAGGGTTTAGGGTTTAGTATAGTGGGGGTTCACTGCTCACACACGACACACACACACACAAAGCAAGCAATCCTTGAGGTTGCTTTCCCACAATTGCCCCATCTCTGGGAAGCTTGCCAACTTGCCCGAGTCGTACAATCGGTTCTTAGTACAAACAACCACACACACATCCAGTCACTAAAGCCCTAAAATCAAGAAACCACAAATCACAATTGAGCCCAGAAACTAGCCTGGCATACTCCTTCGGATGGGTGGAGCTGTTGACCTTTGCCTCAGGCTCAAGCTGCTTGTCATCAGAACTTGGTGGCGCCTGGGCTGCAAGATCTGGTAGAGCGGCTGGAGCAGCGGGTCGAACAGGCGTAGCAACAGGTCTCGATGCAGGGACCAAAGCCTTTGGATCCTTATGAACAGCCTTGTTGCAGGGTTCCGGATCCACACCCTTTGCTGGGCTCTTTGCTGGGATTTCTGTTGGGCTCTTTGCTGGGCTTTCTGTTGGGCTCTTTGCTGGGCTTTCTGTTGGGCTCTTTGCTGGGCCTTTTGTTGGGCTGGAACCAGACACGAAGGACTTAGCATTCTGTCGTTGCAGCATATCCTGCAGCTGCTTGTTGTGGATCTCAAGCTGTTGCATCCTCTCAATCAAGGAGTTCAGCGTACAGGCAGTAGAGGCATCCGATCCAAGGCAACTCGCTGAAGGCCCAAGCCTCAACACAGCGACACTGGCACAGGGTAAAACATGGGCCAGCACTCAACAGATTAAGCAAAGTAGCGTCGAAGCGGAATTGGAACGATGCGAGTGACTGAGGCGTTCGGACTTGGCGGCGATGCTTTGCTGGCCCATGACAAGGGTGGCCGAGGACCTCAAAATCCGGGCTGCATCGTGTAAACCCTAAACCATAAATTAAACACAGTAGAACTAAAGCACCAACTGTGTACACACAGCCAAAACCCTAAACCCTATAAACCCAAGCATCGTAGCTATAGGGTTTAGGGTTTAGGGTCTAGGGTTTAGGGTTTGGGGTTCGGGGTTCAGGGTTTAGTTTAGACAGGGTACTCTGGGTTGAGGGTTCGAATCTCACCAGATCACGTAGGCTGCAGGCCTAGGGTACATAAAGAGTTTCTGCGGTCACTAATGCATAAACATACCTGCGATACATTGCTCAACACGAAGCCTTATCAATCACGCGCTAGTACAGATAGGTGGCAGGAGCGAAGCATCGTCCATGACTTGGGTTTCGTCTTGGCTTGGATCATGGGGCATGATCGTGTTGTTCCTTGCCGGTGTTCCTGGTGTAGCAAGTTCGGTGGTCCCCTCCTTTGGCTCGGTAGGTCCTGCTGTTGGGTTTGTGGCTCCTGTACTGGTCCCCTCCTTTGGCTCGGCGGGTCCTGTTGTTGGGCTTGTGGCTCCGTCCATGGTCCCCTCCTCTCGCTCGGTGGGTCCTGTTGTTGGGCTCGAGGCTTGCTCGGTGACCCCATCCACAAGACCAGTGGGCTTTGTTTCCAAGCACCCGTGCTTGTGCTCCCAGTAGTCGTCCCAAAAGCCAGGGTACTCACTCTCCCAATCGTACTCGTCTGCTGAGCCTTCCCCACAACCCCCCGACTCATCCAAATCATCTTCACCCCATTCCTCTCCCCAGCCCTCAGTCTCATCCCAAGGCTCACCATCGAGGTCCTCGTCCAAATCATTGGACTGTTGTTTCGTTTCCTTCGCCAGCACCTTCTCCTTCTCTGTGCCGAAGAAGTCAGCAACATCCTGTGCATTGGCCGGGGCAAAAACCATCGACTCCTCTGGGTCGCTGGTCTTTGCCTTCTTGGACGGCTTGGTGCTTTCAGACTCGGGAGCAGAGCGCTTGTTGGGGGGAGCAGCTTTGCCACGGAATCGCGTCTTTGGTTCTTCGGCCTCGAGCATCTTTCCCTTAAGGAGCTTCGAAGGCTTTTGCTT